GGAGTGAATGTACAGCGCTCTCTCCCACCTTCAATACCACGACTGAGGTGCCCTTGAGCAAGGCACCGAACCCCCAACTGCTCCCCGGGCGCCGCAGCATAAATGGCTGCCCACTGCTCCGGGTGTGTGTTCACGGTTTGTGTGTGTTCACTGCTGTGTGTGTGCACTTTGGATGGGTAAATGCAGAGCACTAATTCCGAGTATGGGTCACCATACTTGGCCACATGTCACGTCACTTCACTTCGCTTCACTTCACTTATAATGGTAACATAGAGACACCGAAAACATGAAAACAATGTTGTGTGGGTGGCCGAATGGTAACTCTTCTTATTTGATAAATCTTAACCCAGGATGTTTATACACTGTGTTTATTTAGAGTCCTACCCATAAGATTAACCCTAACCTTAACTTTTTTAGCTGCAAATGCAAATCATGTGATGCTGTAGTTTTACAGAACGGCATGTATGTTCAATATATTACGTCTGTAACACTTTATTTTAAGGACCAATTCTCACTATTAAGTAGTTGTTTGTCAGCATGCATATTACTAGCATATTGGCTGTTTATTAGTACTTATAAAGCACATATTCTGCATGACCATATTTTACGTTACTTAATCCTACCCCAAACCTAAACTTATCTACTGCATTAACTAATAGGAGTTTGAGGCAAAAGTCGTAGTTAATAGTTAGTAGTGAGAATTGGTCCCCAAACTAAAGTGTGACCATTATGTCTCACTCCATTTTAAAATTAAAAGCTCCAAAAGGGTTTTTGGAGCAATGCAATTTGGCGTTCCCCAAAGAACATTTCAGTGAACAGTTCTTCAAAGAACCATTTGAAGAGCATTTTAATCATTCGAAGAACGTTCTACCACTATAAATACATTTTTGTGCACCACTTAATAAGTCTGGAAAATCATTAACAGTGACAGGATGCCTCCAATTAAATTAGCATATGAAACGTTTGATCATTCTTTGGCATTTTTACGTCATGGTAGCTCTACAGTCAGAGGACATGGTGTTCCTCTGACCTCAGACATTAGTGGGCCCTTCTGAGAAATAGGTGTCTTTTCCATTCCAAAAATCTGATATTTAATGTCAATTTCATTCGGATTTTAAACATTCTATGACACGTAATGTATTAGTGTTAATATATTTCTGTCACAAACACCAGCTGGAGTGCCCTTGATAACCACCAGAGAGCACTCCATCCCATACCTCTGTGACTCAGTGATGGACTGATAGATTTACTATATTTCCCATAATCCTTTGCCCGGATTCATCAGCACTCATTGTTTGCACCTGTGTCTAGTTAACCCTGTTTGCTCACCCTTTATAAGCCTGGTTCATTTTGTCATTTATTGCTAAGTCTTGCTAGTATATACTGTGTTTCTAAGCCTTGTTTCCTGTTTCTTCCATGTCTTGGTTCCTGGTCTTGTTACTCTGCCTGTTTTTTGGATTATGCCTGTGATTTTGCCGTTTTTATTGTCTGGACTGATTACCTGTGTATATGATCTTCTGCCTGTTTCTGGAATTTGATTGTGGATTACCCCTTCATTAAATATACTGCGTTTGGATCCTCTATCTTTGTGTCACCGTGCAGTTCATGACAATTTCATTGTGCCAGAAAATTAAATGTTCAATCAAATGTTCAAATTAAATGTATACATTTTTTTAAAACACCTTCAGAATTGTAACATGATTGACAGCATGTTTTTATAGATTATGTAGGCTTTGGGTGTATATTAGAAGGAAAAAATATTATTTTTGCAAATGTCAGATTGTCAATCATGGTAACAGGGCTGATATTTGTTAATCATTTTTTTAATGATAGAACATTATTATTATTACTTTATAATTATTATCAATATGGGTATATTTGTCAAAAATTGTTACTCAAATTTTACTTAAAAAAAATATAAGAATGCCTATAATAACAGAAAAAGTGTCAGTGTGGTTTCATATATCACAAATGACCACAGTGGACAGCTATAGTTAGCAGATAGGGGGGGGGGGGTTTACTTAGAAAAAATATAAGAATACCTATAATAACAGAAAAAGTGTCAGTGTGGTTTCATATATCTCAAATGACCACAGTGGACAGCTATAGTTAGCAGATAGGGGGAAAAAATAGAGAATGCATTAGTGCCCTAAATGCTGTCTGTGGGTTTTTATACCTAAATAACAGGATGGAGTAGACTGTTATAGTAGAAAGCAAGTGAGAGTGTGTGAAAGATGTTGGAGGTGTGATTGCGGGGTTTGAGGAAGTGTGATAGCCCCTCAATATCACTGTCGACTGGTGAACCATGAAGAGTCTCACTGAGCTCCACTGGGTACGGACGCCACATACAGAACAACATCACTCCAGTAAAAGGATCCATGCTGTTAATAGTGCTATACAGTACTTCATAATTGCAGTTAACAGACCTTCTCAAACATCTGACAGTCTGTACAAGAGACTTGTCATTTCTTTTGCCAGATGAAAAGGCTATAAGAAAGTGTATACATTCATTTTGAGGTACTGTTGGTATCCGTGCAGGACACAATGCGAGTACCTTGTGACGTTTTGACATCAGATCTTCATTAGATAGACAGAATTTGAAAGATGCCCTTTATGTCAACTGACAGCGATTTGGAGTGAAGATCTCCACAGCGTCTTTCAGTCTCTCTCCAGCGACTGTGGATGTCTCTCGAGCCCAGCACACATTTTTCTGCATGTCCTGTCATTTTCACACAGGCCTGACCATGTTACAGCACGTTTCTAAGAAGTGCCATGTTGTGTAGTTGAGCACGCAACATAAATTTAAGTAGCAGACATGCATTCGAGTGTTGTGGAAGCTCACGTGTGTGTTTTGGCATGTATTGGTTATTGATCACTCTCCATCACTCTTGTAGAAAGCCAAGTTCGGTCCTGGGAAGAAAGTCATCACTCCCACTGATCACCGACGCTTCAGTTTACCATCCGGAAACATGAACAGAGTTCAACTCAGTGACTTCCATTTCCTGGCTCTTCTGGGCAAAGGCAGTTTTGGGAAGGTCAGTCACACATACTTATTGCTCCTGACGTGCCTCAAAAAATGCTTGAATGTCTTTCAAAGATAAACCTCACTAAAATCAGCTACTAGTTCTTCCTCAGAACGACTTTGTCTCTCAGTGGAGTGATTAAAACAACCAGTTGTGTTGAGCCCTGGCTCCCAAAAATTGCATAAATCCAGCTGATTGGAGCTTGTCAGTTGTGGCTTATCTGTGTACAGTCACATTAGTGAAATTTCATGTGCAAAAAAGGTCAGTTGTCTCGTCAGTAGCATAGCAATGTATAAAGCACAGCTTGCACAAGTCACTTTCAAACCAAGCAGCTTTCTGTTGAATTAGAGTGACCAATTTATAAATGAGAGAAATTTTTCGCCCTAGCATGAAACTCCAGATGGCACTGATTCCTATTTGAATCACTCAAATTTCACCTGTGAAATTACGCAAAGCATCAGTAAATGTGACCGCACCTTAAGAAGGCATATGCCAAATGACTTACTAACCCATCTCTAAGGCTATGTTCACACTGCAAGCATTAGTGCTCAATTCCGATTTATTGCTCAAATCAGATTTGTGTGTGGCTGTTCACATTATCAGTTTTAAATGTGGCCAATATCAGATTCCAGTTTGATCAAATGACAGACCTGAACCAAAGAACGATAAGACATCATGAAGCGTGCCGTCATACAGAAGTAAACACGGTGGCCACTGAAGTAAGCGCTTATGCATTCAGTTATATGCTGATGTGCCATGAAAGCCAGCAAATTCATGAGCAGGCGATAAGGAGGATGAAGATGAGGAGAAAGAGAGCAAAGTTTTTAAATATTTACGGTATCGAGTATAGTTTATCTTGTATCGAGCTGTAATAATGTAATACTCCATAAAACAACACCTCTTGTCTCTCCACTGACTACCTTTGCAAATATTTCCAAGTTCGGTCCTGGGAAGAAAGTCATCACTCCCACTGATCACCGACGCTTCAGTTTACCATCCGGAAACATGAACAGAGTTCAACTCAGTGACTTCCATTTCCTGGCTCTTCTGGGCAAAGGCAGTTTTGGGAAGGTCAGTCACACATACTTATTGCTCCTGACGTGCCTCAAAAAATGCTTGAATGTCTTTCAAAGATAAACCTCACTAAAATCCAGCTACTAGTTCTTCCTCAGAACGACTTTGTCTCTCAGTGGAGTGATTAAAACAACCAGTTGTGTTGAGCCCTGGCTCCCAAAAATTGCATAAATCCAGCTGATTGGAGCTTGTCAGTTGTGGCTTATCTGTGTACAGTCACATTAGTGAAATTTCATGTGCAAAAAAGGTCAGTTGTCTCGTCAGTAGCATAGCAATGTATAAAGCACAGCTTGCACAAGTCACTTTCAAACCAAGCAGCTTTCTGTTGAATTAGAGTGACCAATTTATAAATGAGAGAAATTTTTCGCCCTAGCATGAAACTCCAGATGGCACTGATTCCTATTTGAATCACTCAAATTTCACCTGTGAAATTACGCAAAGCATCAGTAAATGTGACCGCACCTTAAGAAGGCATATGCCAAATGACTTACTAACCCATCTCTAAGGCTATGTTCACACTGCAAGCATTAGTGCTCAATTCCGATTTATTGCTCAAATCAGATTTGTGTGTGGCTGTTCACATTATCAGTTTTAAATGTGGCCAATATCAGATTCCAGTTTGATCAAATGACAGACCTGAACCAAAGAACGATAAGACATCATGAAGCGTGCCGTCATACAGAAGTAAACACGGTGGCCACTGAAGTAAGCGCTTATGCATTCAGTTATATGCTGATGTGCCATGAAAGCCAGCAAATTCATGAGCAGGCGATAAGGAGGATGAAGATGAGGAGAAAGAGAGCAAAGTTTTTAAATATTTACGGTATCGAGTATAGTTTATCTTGTATCGAGCTGTAATAATGTAATACTCCATAAAACAACACCTCTTGTCTCTCCACTGACTACCTTTGCAAATATTTGTCATATTCACCAAGTGATCAAAGAAATACCAGTATGTAAAATCTCCTGTCAGCGTGGAATAATGACGAATGTCAATCTAGAGTCACGTAAAAGTCACATGAATTCTGATATGACCGTTCAGACTGCGGTCGCATTGCAAAACATCTGACCTGAATCAGATTTAGGACCACATATGGAAGTGGCCCAATTCAGAAACGAAAAGATCAGATTCCATGTGGTTTGTGCTGTTTACATTTGTCATGAGACAAAGCAATCTGAGCAAAAGAAATCGGATTTGGGCCACATTTTCCTGCAGTGTGAACATACAGTGGGGAAAAAAAGTATTTAGTCAGCCACCAATTGTGCAAGTTCTCCCACTTAAAAAGATGAGAGAGGCCTGTAATTTTCATCATAGGTATACCTCAACTATGAGAGACAAAAGGAGGGGAAAAAATCCAGAAAATCACATTGTAGGATTTTTAAAGAATTTATTTGCAAATTATGGTGGAAAATAAGTATTTGGTCAATAACAAAATTTCATCTCAATACTTTGTTATATACCCTTTGTTGGCAATGACAGAGGTCAAACGTTTTCTGTAAGTCTTCACAAGGTTTTCACACACAGTTGCTGGTATTTTGGCCCATTAGAGTTTCCATCTAGTGTGTGTTTGCTTTCAACATAGGTGATGTTGGCAGAGATGAAGTCCACTGAGGAGCTGTATGCCATTAAAATCCTGAAGAAGGACGTGGTGATCCAGGATGATGATGTGGAGTGCACAATGGTGGAGAAGCGAGTGCTGGCCCAGAGAGAGAAGCCACCTTTCCTCACCCAGCTGCACTCTTGCTTTCAGACTGTGGTGAGAAATGCATCTCTTTATACTGTAGCTACTGTGTTTTTTCCATCTGCAATACCAGTAGGCAGTAGACACAAACAATATTAAGTAATTTTCTCACCCTCAGTCCAAACCATGACCCTCCTCTTCAAATCCTTATCAAATCTTTATGCTTATATGTCAAATCCTTACCTTTTTCATGCAATTACAGTTCAGTGACCACATATGTCAAGATCCAAAAAGAGAACTCCATAAAAAACATAAAAGTAGTATTCTGAAGCCATACAATAGCTACCCAGGTTCATTGGAAATACGACCCTCTACCTACATTTCTGCAAAACTCAAAAAACGTACCTATGGTAACGTGAGTTTTGAGTTTTTTGTTCATTGTTTTCATGTCTCTTATTTTTTAATTTGTCATAGACTTGTTTTCATGTGCTTCCCTGTATCCTCTTGTGCTACCTGTTTATGTGTCATGTTTTCATTGGTTTAGTCTAGTCATGTGGTTTCTAGTTCTGTTTTGTCATTGGTTGGTTTTGTTTTCATGGGACACTCATTGTTTGGTATGTACACTGAACAAAATTATAAACACAACACTTTTGTTTTTGCCCCCATTTTTCATGAGCTGAACTCAAAGATTTAAGATGTTTTCTATGGACACAAAAGGTCTATTTCTCTCAAATATTGTTCACAATTCTGTCTAAATCTTTGTTAGTGAGCACTTCTCCTTTGCCGAGATAATCCATCCACCTCACAGGTGTGGCATATCAAGATGCTGATTAGACAGTAAAAGGCCACAATAAAAGGCCACTCTAAAATGTGCAGTTTTATCACACAGCACAATGCCACAGATGTCGCAAGTTTTGAGGGAGCGTGCAATTGGCATGCTTACTGCAGGAATGTCCACCAGAGCTGTTGCCCATGAATTGAATGTTCATTTCTCTACCATAAGCCGTCTCCAAAGACATTTCAGAGAATTTGGCAGTACATCCGACCAGCCTCACAACTGCAGAGACCACGTGTAACCACACCAGCCCAGGACCTCCACATCCAGCATCTTCACCTCCAAGATCGTCTGAGACCAGCCACCTGCACCTGCTGCAACAATCAGTTTGCATAACCAAAGAATTTCTGCACAAACTGTCAGAAACCGTCTCAGGGAAGCTCATCTGCATGCTCGTCGTCCTCATCGGGGTCTCAACCTGACTGCAGTTCGTCGTCGTAACCGACTTGAGTGGGCAAATGCTCACATTCGATGGCGTCTGGCACTTTGGAGAGGTGTTCTCTTCACTGATGAATCCCGGTTTTCACTGTACAGGGCAGATGGCAGACAGCGTGCATGGTTTGCTGATGTCAGCGTTGTGGATTGAGTGGCCCATGGTGGCGGTGGGGTTATGGTATGGTCAGGCGTATGTTATGGACAACGAACACAGGTGCATTTTATTGATGGCATTTTGAATGCACAGAGATACCGTGACGAGATCCTGAGGCCCATTGTTGTGCCATTCATCCACGACCATCACCTCATGTTGCAGCATGATAATGCACGGCCCCATGTTGCAAGGATCTGTACACAATTCCTGGAAGCTGAAAACATCCCAGTTCTTGCATGGCCAGCATACTCACCGGACATGTCACCCATTGAGCATGTTTGGGATGCTCTGGATCGGCGTATACGACAGCGTGTTCCAGTTCCTGCCAATATCCAGCAACTTCGCACAGCCATTGAAGAGGAGTGGACCAACATTCCACAGGCCACAATCAACAACCTGATCAACTCTATGCGAAGGAGATGTGTTGCACTGCGTGAGGCAAATGGTGGTCACACCAGATACTGACTGGTTTTCGGAGCCCCCCCGGACCCCCCAATACAGTAAAACTGCACATTTTAGAGTGGTCTTTTATTGTGGCCAGCCTAAGGCACACCTGTGCAATAATCATGCTGTCTAATCAGCATCTTGATATGCCACACCTGTGAGGTGGATGGATTATCTCAGCAAAGGAGAAGTGCTCCCTAACACAGATTTAGACAGATTTGTGAACAATATTTGAGAGAAATAGGCCTTTTGTGTACATAGAAAAAGTCTTAGATCTTTGAGTTCAGCTCATGAAAAATGGGGGCAAAAACAAAAGTGTTGCTTTTATAATTTTGTTCAGTGTTTATAGCCCTCATGTTGCCATTGTCAAGCTTTGTTAATGTAACAAAGTTAATGTAATGTAAAGTTTTTGGTAAGTCTTGTCCATGCTCCATGCCATGTTTGTTTAGTTCATGTTTGTCTCATTAAACTGCACTTGGGTTCTTCAACTGGACTTCAGTGGACTATATGTTACAGAAAAGCTTGATCTAACATGAACTCAGCAGTTTTTCTCTTGTGCCTTCGACAAGGCAAGTGGGCCATTGAAGATTATGTTGAAAAATTTTGTGAACTTTCTCACCGGGTGGACTTTAATGACGTGGCATTAAAATATATTTTGTGGGTGGGTCTTAATGGGCCCATTTGCTCCCAGCTTCCTGGGGGAAAAGTCCACTGGTCCCTTGCCGAATATATAGACTATGCCTTACTGCTGAGTGGATCACCATCCACAGTCCCACAGCACCTACCAAGCCAGAGCCTGTTCACGTCATGCCTGCCAAGAAAGAGCCTCTTCACAATATGGCTGCCACTCAAGAGCTTCTTCACAACATGGCTGCCAAGCCAGAGCCTCATCACAACATGGCCATCACTCAAGAGTCTCTTCACGTCATGACCACCAGGCCTGAGTCTTCAGCCAAGATGGCCACGACAACGGAGCCTCACCATGCCACGGCCACCACGCCACAGCCTCCTCGCGTCACCACCACCTCGCCTGAGCCTCTCCACACTCTGCCCGTGTTGGCGGTTGCCATCTTGAGTGTTAGGGCTCTACATTGCACTCCAGAGGCCTCTCCTGTCCATGAATCCGCTCCAGAGCCTGCTTCAGTCCATGAATCTGCTCCAGAGCCTGCTCAAGTTCAGGAATCCGCTCCAGAGCCGCTCAGGTCCACGAATCCGCTCCAGAGCCCACTCAAGCCCTAGAGCTCAGTCCTGTGTTGGCACCAGTCTGAGTTTCCTGCCTGTCCTGTTTTGACCACAGTGGTCACATGTGAACCCTCTGCCAGTCCTGCCATGGCTAAAGAGGCCGACTTTGAACTCACAGTTTTCCCTGTCACGTCCGAGGAGGCCTTCCCTGAATTCTCTGCTTGTCCTGCCATGACCAAGGAGGCTGTTCAAGGATTTTCTGCCTGTAATGCCGGGGCTTCTGCCTGTAATGCTTCTCACAAACTTTCTGCCTGATGGCCATTGAGGCCATTCAAGGATATTCTGCCGGTCATGTTGCGGCTAGGGAGGCTGCTCACAAACTCTCTGCCTGTTCTGTCACAGCCAAGTGGTCTGTCAATATCTCTGCTCCGCCATGGCCTCCTGACCTGTGGTGGTTTTCTGCTCCGAAGCTTCACCTAGGTAACCTGTTCTGCTCTGCTCGCCTGCTCCACACTGATGGTCATCTGCTCCACCGTGGGGATTTATCGGTCCCTCCTGCTCTGCCCTAGTGGTCTTCTGCTCCGTTGTGGGGGTCTTCTGTTCTGCAAGCTCTACCTTCATTCCCTAGGTCATCGCCATAGTTCCACAATCTGCCATTGCTCCACAGTCCAGGCCTGCCATTGCCCTCTGTTCCACTGCCCAGGCCTGCCACTGCTCCATGCTTCAATCTTGCCACTGCTTCATGGCCCAGGCCTGCCACTCTTCCACAATCCTGGTTCTGTTCCCCTTCATGGGCCTGGCCCTCCATCCCTCCCCCTGTTCCCCCCTCTGCTCCACCACCCTCCTGGACTTTTTTTCCCCTCCTGGAGTTTTGATTGTTTTTGGGGTGGGTGTTTCACTAGGGCGTCAGGTGCTGCCCTTAGAGGGGGGAATATGTAATATTGTTTTTGGTCTTGTCTTGCATGCTCCATGCTCCTTGTCATGTTTATGTTTGTTTAGTTCATGTTTGTTTCATTAAATTGCACTTGGGTTCTTCAACTCGCCTTCAGTGGACTATGTTGCACCTATACATATGAATCACTGCAGATTCCAGTTGAAATCAACACTAGAGGCAGTAAAACTCAACTTTTATTCCTTTTCACACAAAGTATGATTTACAGGGCCAGAGTTTCGTTTAAGAAAGCCTAATTTTCGCACAATTCCCTGCACTATATTGTGTTCTTATTTCAAAACAGTTTTAACATGCTGCGAGATTTGAAAACTGACACTTTTGAACATAAGCATCACATATACAGCATCATGGGTTTTCTAAATTAGTAGGTTATTTTTAGGACTGGACTTTATTTTAAGGTCCAGTTCTTGCTATTAATTAACTATTAACTATGACTTTTGTCTCAATAAACTCCTAATTACTGCCTTGTAAGGTAGTTTTTAAGTTTAGGTATTTGGTAGGATTATGGATATAGAATATGGTCATGCAGAATATGTGCTTTATAAGTACTAATAAATAGCCAATATGCTAGTAATATGCATGCTAACAATCAACTAGTTAATAGTGAGAATTGGTCCCTATACTAAAGTGTTACCTTATTTTCCAACATAATAGAGCATTTTAGCAACACTCCCGCACATTTTAATCCACAATAGTTACCTGAACCAGCGTAATAAAAATGCAGCAATATGTGCCTGTACCAATGTAATAAAAACGTGACCACAGAAACTGCCATAAAACGTGCAATAAAGTACGTAATCTCAGTGTTGCAGAAATGTTGCCACAAGTACACGTTTTTCAATGAGCCTGGGTTGTACAATAGCTATTTGACAACAGATATGGTGCCTGATGAGCTGGATGCCAATCACATCAAGTGTCATTATTTTCATGTCAAATGTCATTGTTTTCATGGCTTTGGACCAAACATCATTGACTTGGTGATCTAATGGTGCCCTATTTGATTTCAGAGCTATTTGCAGTAAATTATTGTAATTTCAGTCTGTTCCCCACACAGAGTAATCATATGGCTTCAGAAGACTTTGAATATAGCACACGTCATATCGACCATTTCTATGATTCTTTGGAGTTTGACTGTCATTTTCATTGTGGAAAAGAGCTGCATGAAGAATATATGATCATTCTGTGTTTCATGGAAAAATTTATGTAAACAGCTGATGTAGGTAAATAGTGACTTTGTTTGGGGGTTTTGTAAGCGTCAGATAGGGGAAGCTCCTCCAGGAGTCACAGCAGGCCGCTCTCAGTAATGGGCATCCTGCTGATGAATAATGCAACAGATGCCAGCATGCCCTTACTAAATATTCATGAGTTGCACACAGACAGTAAACCAGCCATCATGTCCACTCGCATTTCACTCCAAACACCATAACTCCCCCTGGGTTGGTGGTTTTGGTGCTGTAGTGGAGTCCTCACCAGACTTCTTAAATACCACAGCAAGCATGACTTCCTTATTCAACCAGCCAGGTCATCACCAAACCAGCATGGTAGTAGAAAACAGATAATTATGGGTAACCTATGATGTCATAAGGATTCAAAGATAGGTATCAACAATAAAAAAAAAAAATTCTGCAGTAATTAAATTTTTTTATTTTCCCACCACAAAAGAATGTTTAAAAAAATATTTTAATTAAAATAAAATAAAAATCAGTTTGAAAGATTGTTAGAAATATTATATTTTTTATTGTAAAGTTGTTGTTTTTTTTTAGAAGAAGAAAATATGCAATGAAATATACACCTTTACTAAATATATCTTTAATAATAATTAAAATAAATATTGTCCTTTACAAATTTAACATTTGCAACAAGCTAGAATTTGTGTAGCTGTAATGTATAAATGAATTTATATGGCAAATAATGGCATACAATGCAGAACATTTCTGACAGGTTTGTAGTTTTCGACACATTCTTACTGATTCCTCCAAAACGATCAAAATGTGTTAGAAAGTTAGACAATATCTTGATGACAAATAAGAATAGAATTCGCACTAAAGATGTAGAATAAGAAATGATTCAGTCGTGCCATTAGGATTGAAGTATTAGTCAATATGCAATATGTGTTTGGTTGTGAAAGTAATTGGCTTTCTAATCCGGGGAAGAAAAAAAGGGTAGGTGACAGCAGATCTTCCTGACACCTGGTGTGGACACCAGTGTGTCTGTCTTAAAGTATATCAATATGTCAATGGCATCCTGTCTGATCTGAGGTCAGTACATGGATTGAGTCAGTGCTGAATACAGGGGCCTGCTTGTTATTTTCTGCAGCTGCACTATTTATCTCATTTGTCTTTTGTCAGGATCGTCTGTACTTTGTAATGGAGTACATTAACGGTGGAGACCTGATGTATCACATCCAGCAAGTGGGCAAGTTTAAGGAACCACAAGCCGTGTAAGACATGACTCACTTTTTACTGTCAATCAAAACCGCACGAATATAGACTAGTGATGAGCACATTATTCAAGCACAACACATATCTTTACATGTGACAGAACATGCTGGTTTGTTCTACACAGTGTGTTTGTTTGGCTATGTTCACATTGGAACACAAACTTCATGCATATATAATGCATACAGAATATACATATACTGTGAAAAGTGGTTACCTTAAAGAGCTATTTCTATCTGATTTAACCCATAAAACATTGTTTTGTTGGTATAAATGAATGTATTTAGGTTGATTTAGTTATGTTAAATACTATTTTTAACTTGAATAAAACCAGTTAATTGAGATGTTACCATTTTCAGGTTAACAGTTTTATCAGTGGAAGCAGTATAATATAATGTATTGCTTATTGTACGTAAAAATTAATGTGACACATGAAAATGTACACATGTATAATTTAGCAAGTATAGCGTCCAGTTTACATCTTTGTAAGGTTATTTTGCATTAATTTCATGTAATAAAATAATTTAATGTTTGGTAATCTGATCAAATAATCAGTCAATGGTAGATGTTAGAAATCACAGCTGATATTTCCATTCAATCATCACAAGTTTAAACTCATTGCGTTTTGTGCAGTGTACTCTGTTGTACAGTATCTGGATTTTTGTCAAATGTTGTAATCCAGGTTGTATATTGCACACATTATTTAACCTTTCTACTTTAACAAAAAACACACACACACACACATCCTGTTAAAATTTCTCTCCAAAACCAACACATTCCATCTTAAAATGCTGCCAAATGTACTGTACAAATGTACCTTTATGAAGATTTTTCATAAATTCATTGAGTCTGAATAAAATTAAAAGCAGTTCAAATACTACCATGTTTAATAAATAGCTTAAATATTTATCATTTTAAATTAATTTTTTTACTAGAGGTCGACCGATAGTGGATTTTGCCGATACCGATAGCTAGGTTGGACCACACTGGCCGATACCGATTAATTAACCGATAGTTTTTAAAATGGATACTGAACAAAAACTAAAATAATGCTTTATTAAAAAAACAGTACTGAAACATACTAGTAGTAGTAATAGTAATAATAATAATAATAATAAAAATGTTGAAATTAATACACTCTAACAAGGAACAATACTTTCATTACACAGCTTTCATTAATCTTAATGTTACAAATGGACTCTTATTTTAAAGTGTTACCATTTCATTTCAACAGTCATGCTTAAAGATACTCGTCTTTAAATATATACACAAAGGCCATAGCATTAAAATTATATACATATGGATATTGTATGTATACTCTCACACTTTAACTTCTTCTATTCTTGAACACTTGATGATTATCTAATCAAAATAAAAGCGCAGCGCTGTGTCTAGGTAGGAGAACTCACCGGTATCACACACATTCCGGAAGCGTCGTGTTCAATTCGAGCAGCGGTCTAAAACAGTTTATTTAATCACCGAACAAACACAAGTTTACTTCAAGAATGAACGAACAATGAGGCATAGATGAGTTTGAAGTTCAGTGTTTAAAAAACGGAGCAAACGGAAAGAGAAAGCACAATCTATATTATAGCTCTATAAATTAAGCATTAACAACAATTCGGGACAAATATAATGTAATTTAATGAAAAACTATGTGAATGGCGCTCTGTGGCGCGGCAGGATTTTCTGCCGGCTGCATTTAAATCCACGTCTGAAGTTTCCCGCTCTGTTCAGCGTGCAGTATACACTTGTCTAAACAAATAGCACGTGCTGTCGGTGATTTCAACCACTAGAGGCCGCTATCATACTGTATAATGACAGCAGACCCTTCTCAGCCGTTCCAGCAACGGACGCAACCCGGAAAACTATCGGCATGGATTTTTGCCGATAACGATAGTTCCAGCAAAAAACTATCGGTGCAGATTAATCGGCAAAACCGATACATCGGTCGACCTCTATTTTTTACATTACAGTAATAAGAATGAGATGTTTTTGAATTACTGTACGCTAATGAGAATTTGTGCAGAAATGTGCTTAAACAATGCAAAAACACATACAGTATAAAAATGGCACAGACAAAAAGCTCTGAACAGTTGCTCCATCAACACCCAGTCTTCACTCATGAATAAAACTGCAAACAAGAAAACATATGAGGGCCTGTATTCATGAAGAGCTGTTCCTGACATATAATTGTTCATGTTGTTATTCTAATTCTGTACATGTCTGTGTGAGCAGAGTATGTCACACAACACCATTTTTTTCACCTTGTCAGCAGAGGCTAGAAAATTTCTGCTGGAACAATCAACGCTTGAACAAAGGCACATTTGTTTCCTTTGCTTCCTGTAAGGGCTGGGATACCAGTCTGAGAAATGCAAAAAAAAATTTGATTATGTGATGCCGACTAATCTACACTGTGGTGTGTTGACAGATTCTATGCAGCAGAGATTGCTGTCGGACTCTTCTTTCTTCATAGGAAGGGAATTATTTACAGGTGAGTGGATTACAGTATCTTTACTTAAGTCCTTAAATATTGCACTACACAGAATTGAGGAGCACAGTAGATCTTATAGATGCAGTCACATGCTGTCAACGTGTCACCATCAGTGGAAAATACACTTAACTGGAGCAGATGTGACTCTCCACATGATCAAATTAGATTAGCTGAGAATGGAGCCAATAACAGCTGAGATGGTGTCAAGACAAACTTATTAAAATTCAGTTTTCGTTATTACTGTTACAGCAGTTCAGAGAAAGACCCTCAGTTTATTTGCCATATAATTGCAGTAAATTCAGAACAAACACGTACTGTATAGCTTTTACTGAGGATCTACACCATGAAATCACAGTAGGAGTTTTGTAACTTTTAGACCGTGTGTCCACCAAAGCGTTTTTTTTTCCGAGGCTTGCATATTTTTTTTCACGCCAGCAGCGTGGCGCGGCGCTGAGCATCTTTTTTGCGCGGAACTCTCTGGCGTTTGTTGAAGAATATTCAACTTTGGGGTAAAGTGCAGTGCTCATCACTGTCACTTTTTAGTCAACCGTCCAATCACAGTAGAGGAGGTGTGGGACAAATTCCACACCGACCAACCGCCACATCCTGCTTGAACAGCAGCAACAGACGACAACAAGACCCAGATAGCACACGTATGTCTGCAAGATGTCTGTTAAAGGTCTCTTGATCTGGAAAGCATCTGCTGTCTACAAACGTCTGACAAATGCCTTTCAGATGTCAGTTTTGCATACATTCTAAATCATAAACATCTTAAAGACATCTAATAGATGTCTGTTTGATCTATCTAAAAGGAAACATCCTATAGACGTATTGCAGATGAGCAAACTCTCTAAAAAATATGTCTTGCAGATGTAAATGCAGACGTCAAATAGACGTCCCCGAAATGTACGTGTGCTATCAGGGGAAGCACAACAACGGAAACAAAATCATTTAAAACAAGGGCCAGAAGCAAGTACTTTATATTGCGTCAACATTTTTATATTCAGAAATAAACTTGCGAAATCAGATACTAGTCACACTTCCGCGGATATTCCGTATCATAGCAGCCAAAACTGAAAAAAAAACCTGCTGCTCCATAGAAGTGCTTTTAAGCGCTTACGGCTAAACGTTTTTAGCAGAAAACCTGGCATTTTCAGCCGGCTAAAAACAGTTTGGTGGACACACAGCTTTAGTCCATGTCTGGAGTACACCTCCAGTACTTTAGTACTCCTAAAATTTGGAAAATGGACTATAAATATTGATGACTTGCAATCAAAGCAAATATTCTCTTCGATAATGCTTGCAATAAGCAATATAATGAACCATAATGATGTAATGTACTGTAATACCTATGATGGAAGTCTATAGGCAAAGCCGTTTGGAGGGTTAAAAGCAGAAATATGTTTTTCATATATTTGCTTATATTTTTGTTTTGTTCTGTTAACTGGTTATGCATTACAATTCCTGCACGTAAACAGCGCTTGCCACTTCCCTTTCTGACATCTGTGTGTATATTGAACGAACATTGCTGGGTTTACTAGCTTCATCATAATAGGAGATTTTCAGAAGTAGTGGATATGCATTAAAAACACAGTTTTTTTGTGTGTCTGTTTTTATAAATTTAGGCACAAGATGAGGATTTTCTGTCAACTTCTGTCAAACAGCATGTCACAGATGCTGTACGTAGAGCTTTAGTTTTCTTAAACACAGAGTATACCTTCAGCTGCATCATTAATATCCCTCAGAAATAATCCTCAGCCTTACTCTGCAAAGTGTAGGCTCCCAGTTAGTTGCAATAGCTAACATCTAGAAATGCTACTTGAATACCACGAAAAATGAATGACTTTAAGAAGTGTGGTAAATACATTTGTGTGAAAACAGAAAAACTCAGTTGTCATTGAAAATGCATGTAAATGTTATTAAATAACATTAGCTCTAACATTAATTCTTCAGTAAAATATTGTGTATGGAGCTTTAGCTGTTTTAAACTGTCAGCTGTTGTTTGCATTAGCTAACATATTCATATTCTAGATGAAAATGATTGACATCAGATGTGTGCAGTGTAGTTGAAAACACATATTATTTGAAGTAAACAACATAACTCAGGGTTTAACAGGTTCAAAACACCCGTGAAATGCAGTATACATATTCCTGTCCAGAGAATGAGACTCTTTGAGGAAAAGCTGGCTGTAAGAAAGACTGTTTATCTGCAGCGCTGTCTGCATTCAGCTCCTCACTCGCCGTTCCCATCCCTGCTGGGTTGCAGCGTTCAGCTCGCATTAATCATGCTCTTTGATGATGAAGGCTGAGCAAGACTGACCTGACCTCGCTTATACTGCCCACTCACATGCTCAGCTAAAGACCACACTATTAACTGTGAACTGTTTGTAATGAGGGAAGGCAGATGCAGAGCGTTTACCATGAACATCAGTTATCTGAGGTGCATTTCATACACCTGGTTTGTGTATTTTGTCCTCAGAGATTTGAAGTTGGATAACGTGATGTTGGACTCCGAGGGCCACATCAAGATTGCAGACTTCGGCATGTGTAAGGAAAACATGTTTGAGGGCATGGCAACACGCACCTTCTGTGGAACGCCAGATTACATCGCCCCGGAGGTGAGAGAAAACTGAGAAAACAAAACAAAACATTTATTTACCCATAATGCCACCCCAAACCTGTATGACTTTATTTCTTCTGTGGAACACAAAAGGAGATTTATCTTGGCCATTCATCAATGCAATGAAAGTCAATGAGGAGTGAGTAGGGTTGGGTATCGTTTGGATTTTATCGATTCCGATTCTTTTCGATTCCCAGTTTGGATTCTATTTGTGATTAAATTATGATATCAAACATTTATCCTGTGTCTCTTTTTTGCAAACCATTTATTGTAGCTGAATACCATGAACAAAAATCAGCAGGCTACATAAAAACTGGACTCTTTAAGAGCTGTTTGTGTACAAAATAGAACTGCATGATTCTGGATAAACTGAGTTTTTTTTTTTTTCGGAATCTGAAACAGGTTAACGTGCATCTGGCAACTTTTTATTATGTTTATCGTGGCAGTTCAGAAATGAAATGTCCAGTGAGTTGCGCGTAAATGTTAATGTATCACCTACAGTAATCCCTACCCTAAACCTTGCCGATAGTGTTAATAAAACCAAGCTGTCACAGTCTTCAGCTGGTGTGCACTAGATGGCCACCAGAGGACAATGTGTCTTTTGTGTGAGCACATGGCTTGTTGTGTGTTTATGTGTGTGTCTGTCTATTGTCTTACCCCGCCCATCTTGTTACCTCATTATTGTTTCAGTGGTTCCACCTGTTGTCTCCCTTATTACCTGCCCTACTTAGTCTCCCAGTGTTTGCTCTCTTGTGCTAGTTCGTTACTATTCGTATATACGTGTGTTGGATGTTCCTGTCCTGTCCTGTCCTGTCCTGTCCTGTCCTGTCCTGTCCTGTCCTGTCCTGTCCTGTCCTGTCCTGTCCTGTCCTGTCCTGTCCTGTCCACCTACCTGTTTTTCTCCTTTGGGGTAGTTTTTGTTGTTGTTGTTTTGTTTTATTAATAAAGAGCCCATACTTTCTGCATTTGAGTCCTCACCTCATCTCTCCACCCGCACCATGACACAAGCATGACTTAAACATGCATTTGCTGAAGTAACCATGCCATTTTATCATGACTCATGTTTCAAGGGACTTATACCCAAGTGCAGTGCTGTACCAGGTGAGCTACTGAGAAAGTTTACTACATCACACATATGGAGCTGGTTATGTGATGCAGACATCAAAATATATTAGTTTACAAGTAATGCGCTATGGTAAAAGTGTTTTGAGGTCATAACATAGTAGGAATCACATGGAAACAAGTCTTTATTAAATAATCATATGGCACTATAATTGTAATTTATTTGAAAAGGAATAAAGGTTGTTGGGGTTTTACTGCAACTATGGTCATTTCAGCTGGAAACTGCAGTGAATTGTATGTGTAGGTACGTTTTTGGACATTTGCAAAAATGGACGTAGAGGCACATTTTTCCATTAAGCCTACAGTAGGTTGACATTAGTGGAATCACCGCAGACATAAATTATAATGCTGCTAATTTTTCTACACACACCTATGACTTTAATAATAATTGGGTGGTGAAATAAAGTATGTGCCTTTTTTTGCCTGCCTAACTTTTTACCTAAATAAGCTCGAAAAAATTATGCATTTTTAATAGTTTTTTTAAATAGTAGTAATGCAAGGTTGAATACATATTTAAAAATAAATGTTTATTTAAACATGGATTATTTGCTGTTGGATTATTGTTGTTCCCTTTCCCTGTGGATTTGTTAAAAAGGAATTCTCCATCCTACTCTGTTGTTGTGTGCGTTGTATATTGTTGTGACAATTAGGGCTGTGCGATTTGGGGGAAAATATCAAATTGCGATTTTTTTTTTGACAGATATTGCGATTGCGATTTGATTTGCGATTTTAAATTTGCAAAGTCAAGCTTCAGCTCAATATTGCCAATAATGTGCAGCACAGTATGGGTATCATTACCCTGCTGAAAAAAACAATAGAAACCATCACACAAATTCTTAATAGTTTCCATTAAACCATTACAAAATTCCTTTTTGTTTTGGCCATTATTCCAATAGGAATTACTGTTGTTCTATTGGTTCCCATCTGCCAGATTACATCCCACCAATAGAATCCATCAAATATACACCACTATAGTTTACATTAAAACCAAACAAATTAAATTTGTTATTGTGTTTTGGGAGGGGTTCTATTGTTTTTTTTTTTTTTCAGCAGTCAAGATTATAAGAGTCGACACAGGTTGCGCGCGTGTGTCAAGCCTCGTCCATACTGCCAGATGTGCTCGTAGAGACTTGCGGAGCCGGGTGCAAGTATAAACGAGCATTACGAGACAGGCTGCATGAGTGCAGCAAGCATGAACAGCTCGTCCGTGACACGGGATTCGCACCGTGTGGGGCAGAGGGGAGCGAGTATGAGCAGCATTCACAGACACAGGCTGTGTGTGCGCTCTTCTGAATTGGGAATAGCGAACATGCATCGTAAACTTATTCAAATTAATCTGTTGGGGAGATAAAATGTGCAAGATAACGTTCACGTACTAACAAAAACATTTAAGAATGTATCTTTTATTCTCCAGTACTGAAAACAGACCCGATAAGGGAGCTTTTGATATGCGCTGTGACGCAGCTCTTGCAAATTAACTTTTTTGTTCGTTGTCTGTCATTTCGAAGCTTAAATTGCATACGTTTTTCTTTAGTTTTAATCTGCCTAACTATCGATCTGACCCAGTAGATGCCATAATCCCACTCTGTCTCTCTCCCGCGTTCTTTTATTTTTATTTTTATGGTGGGTGTTTACGCAGTTGGCTAGAGCATTGCTGATTGGGGAGAACGGAGGTGCGCTCACTCTATTGGTTAGTAAGACTGCAACTCAAGGCTGGCAGTCATGCATATGCTCTGGAACAAAGTAATATCGCGTCAATATCGCAGGCTTTGCGATTAGGAAATCGCAACGTCTCAAATCGCGATTTCGATTAATCGCACAGCCCTAGTGACAATCCCCTGACAGGAATAGTGTAGATGTAAACTATTTAATAAAAATTAAATATTTAATAAAACTAATTTTACTAGTGAATTTTTATATAATTGCCTTTAATTGTATAATTGTTTACATTTCCTATTTGGCTTTCAGTTGAGTTGTGCCAAATCGAGTAGTCCCAGACCCAGTCTGAATTTAATTTATGCTTAATTTTAATTAGTAACTAATTAGTAATAAAAATGAATGAATGAATGATTCATTTAATTTGTTTTTTAATATATTTAAACATTAATGCTTTGAATGATTATTAAAGTAAATCTTGGATCTTTCGCTGCTAAATCAGAAAATGTTTTTGGACAGTTTTTTTATATATTTTTTTTTAACATACATGGCCACACCATTCACTAATAGCCACATTTTAATTTACTCTCTTTTGCCCACAGTGTTATTGACCTGTAGATTAGCGCTGTGACGTTTCCACTGAAGCATGTGGCATCTTGTCGTGTGTGTGTGTGTGTGTGTGTGTGAGTGAGAGAACTTTTGAGGTCAGGCTGTTGATGTGAATGCTGGCAGACAGTCTGCTCTGTGTCTGTGAGTAGACAGCCAGCAGACACTTAAAACATGCTTACTGTGACCTTACGCTTTATGCAGTGTATTAAAATAAGTCAAGTATTAGACTAAAGAAAAACTTTATATATTTATTTATTATTAAGTCATTGTTTTATGATTTCAGTTGTTAGATATAATCAATCAAGTCAAGTCAAAATTAGATTAACTAACATTTTTTTGCAAAGAGGTGTTGTATAGACATGTGGTAGTTTAAAATGTGCTACCTTTCATGCAATGCTCAGTTTAAAGTATATAACACATCTAATAAAGTATAAAACACATCTAACACATCCCTATTTGTGGAAAGTTGCACAACTATGCAGTCATTTCTAAAGCACACATGAAGAGGAAGAAAATCAGAGTTTGACATGAAACATCCACTCTCTATGCTTAACAAAGCTCTCATTAACTTCCCCATGTGATTATGCACACACATTGGTGTGTGTGCTGAATATGTGGGTGTAAGTGGACTGGTGCGGGGGGAAAAGGTGATTATTACAGCAAATGGTTAAAAATAGCAGAGCGACTACCACCCCCTTGAGCAGTAATGAAATGTGCATTGTGCTCTTGACAGATGAATGGAGACTGAATAGAGTTTCCCAAGAGCCCATGAGAGTTGAAAGAATGACTGGACAGAAAGTGATGCACGTGTTAATTTCCTCTTCCCCCAGATAATCGCCTATCAGCCGTACAGTAAATCGGTGGACTGGTGGGCATACGGTGTGCTCCTCTATGAGATGCTGGCTGGGCAGGTAGGTGGACGTGCGCAGAAAGTTCTTGTGAATCATTTAGTATTCTCTGTAGTACTCAAATGAGTCAGATGCCAGGGCTTTTCAGAGGTGCTTTGAATAACTGTGATTGCAGCCCTGCTGTGATCAGCGAATGCCATAGCAAACGACTTGCAGCGAAACACACTGTCTCCGAGCAACAGAGCATGATGGAGAGGATTGAGATTTTGGTTTGCACAAGGTGCTTCTGATGGAACAAAAGACTTTTAATGCATTTTCGTGTTACATGTATGTATTTTTTTAAATCTCCTGGGTTCAAAACTGTTTAATTTTCTCTGGGCAGTATGTGTACAACTGTCAAAAAAATTTGCAAGATTTTTTTGCAAAACCAGCTTGTCACTGGGGCAGTACCCTCAAAGGGGATACCTTTGTACCTTCTTTACTCCCAAAGGATAATAGTCATAATAGTACCATAAGAGTGCATATGTGACCCTGGACCACAAAACCAGTCTTAAGTGTCAATTTTTCAAAATTGAAATGTATACGTCATCTGAAAGCTGAACAAATAAGCTTTCCATTGATGTATGTTCGTTATGATAGGACAATATGTGGTCGAGATACAACTATTTGAATATCTGGAATCCGAGGGTGCAAAAAAATCCAAATATTGAGAAAATCGCCTTTAAAGTTGTCCAAATGAAGTCCTTAGCAATGCATATTACTAATAAAAAAATAGGTTTTTATATATTTACGGTAGGACATTTACAAAATATCTTAATGGAACATGATCATTACTTAATATCCTAATGATTTTTGGAATAAAAGAAAAATCTATAATTTCGACCCATACAATGTATTTTTGGCTATTGCTACAAACATACCCTAACGACTTAAGACTGGTTTTGTGGTCCAGGGTCACATATTACTACTCTAAGCTACTAATATGTAACCTTCAGGGTTAAAGAAGGTACAGATCTATCTATCTGTTTATGTATGTATGTACTTGATTACAAAATTTAAAAAAATGATATTTACTTTTTTAAATTATTTACAAAATGTAATACATTATAGTATAATCTAGTTGGATATAATGCAACATTTACTTTTAGCTCACAGCCCTCAATCAAGTTTTTTTTGTGTCCCTTAATATTAAAAAGTTTGGGCAACTCATCCTTGCTTTGCTAAACTTTCTTACAGATCCAATTCTGAGAAAGAATCTGGAAGATTTACTGTTTGTTATTAAACAAAATTATTTATTTTAATAGATTGGTAACACTTTATTTTAAGGGCCAATTAGCTAGTTAATTAACTCACTATTAACTAGTGGCTTATTAGCATGCATATTGATAGCATATTGGCTGTTTATTAGTATTTATAAAGCATATATTAACGCCTTGTTCTGCATGACCATATTCTAGATCCCTTAATCCTACATCATACCTAAACTTAACAACTACCTTACTAACTATTAATAAGCAGTAATTAAGAGTTTATTAATGCAACATTTGTAGTTAATAGTGAGAATTGGTCCCCAAACTAAAGTGTGAACAATATATGTTATATAATATCTTATATTTTATTATTATCTTATTTCACTTTTACAATGTAGCAGTGGTACTATGCAAAAAAATTAAAAATAATGCAATGCAAAAACACAAAAACATTTTTGTACTTGTATGACTGGTTTTATACACAAAGACAAACAGACATTTAATTCACATGCGTTGACTTAATAAACTGCTTTATTTGTTCCTTTTGGAATATTCTCTGTTCGTTTCAGTGATATTCATTTATATAGAGTGCTGCCCAGGCCTCAGTGTGAAACGCACTTCCTGTGTCCTCTATACTTTCTGCCAGAACGGTTACCAAGGTTACGTCATTTACATCTCAGCTTTCTCCCGCTGACTCCCGGGTCCAATTACCCAACAGAAGAATCTTGTTATACACTTGATGTGTTTCCCTTTGGACGATTTTGTCTTGGACACCCCCATCCTGGAATGATTCCTGCTTATGTAATATATCATCCCACTGCTGTGAGGATACAGCGTTTAAAAGAAAAAAATGTGAAAAGTTTAAAATGACTTGGGAATCATGACAGAAATGTGTATTGTTCCTTTTTAGAAACTCTGAAAGTATTGAGTACTGTGGGTGTCTGCTAATAACCCGCCTCTGTCAGGATGAGGAGGTGGGAGCTGTCAGTACTTCTGGAGAACTTAAAGAGATAGTTCACCCAAAAATGAAAATTCTGTCATTAATTACTCACCCTCATGTCGTTTCAAGCCCGTAAGACCTTCGTTCATCTTCGGAACACAAATTAAGATATTTTTGATGGAATCTGAGAGCTGTCTGACCCTCCATAGACCGCAACGCACCTGAAATGTTCCCAAGTCCAGAAACGTAGCAAGGAGATCGGTAAAATAATCCATGTGACATCAGGGGTTCAACCGTAATTATATGAAGCTACGAGAATACTTTTTGTACGCAAAAGAAAAAAAAACGACTTTATTCAACAATTCGTCTCCTCCGCATCACCCTGTAGAGCCATTTTGGAGAATATCAGCTGGACGTAAACAGCGTATGATGTTCTGTGTCAGCTGCGTCACGCCGGATCTGTTTCCTACGTTGTTGTGATTTTATCTGAAACAAAAACAGCGTATCCGTGTGACGCCGAATGGTGCTACAGGGTGATGCGGAGGAGACGAATTGTTGAATAAGGTTTTTTTTTTTCGCACAAAAAGTATTCTCGTAGCTTCGTAAAATTACGGTTGAACCCCTGATGTCACATGGATTATTTTACCGATCTCCTTGCTACGTTTCTGGACTTGGGAATATTTCAGTTGCGTTGCGGTCTATGGAGGGTCAGACAGCTCTCAGATTCCATCAAAAATATCTTAATTTGTGTTCCGAAGATGAACGAAGGTCTTACGGGTTTGAAACGACATGAGGGTGAGTAAGTAATGACAGAATCTTCATTTTTGGGTGAGCTAACCCTTTAAGATGGATTGAGGGTTCCAGAGCTGTGAAAAATAAGAGAGAAAGAGACATGTCTTTGTTGTACACTTTACCTCAATTCATTAAAAACATGGGTCTATGGAATCTGCCCAATCATTTTTAAGCAACTACTCTGTTTCTAACAGCCTCCATTTGATGGTGAGGACGAGGATGAGCTGTTTCAGTCCATAATGGAGCACAACGTGTCCTACCCCAAATCCCTGTCTAAAGAAGCAGTGTCCATCTGTAAAGGGGTAAGTCCCGGGACATCAGCAGGAGCTGCTTTATTCCTCTAAATATCTATATGCCGTTGCTCATTGAATGAGAAATGAATAATGCAGAGGCTATATTGGAATTATTTTTCAGCTTGGATTAATAACTGGCGTACTTTAATATTGCTGTCAGCTCAAGTCATGGAATTATCACCCGCTATAATAGTTGAGTGGAAGATAATATTTCATTTCATTTGTCTTTTCATTCTGTTTGATTATGTTCCTCTGCGAATCAGAAAAAAATATTTAAATGATTCATGGTGGTGATTTAAATGTCAGTAAAGGCAGTGACGATACTTCATGATTACTAATGTGGAGGAGATCATTAGTTAATGTAGAATAGTTTCAAATGTCATTATGTATATCAGATGTTTTGGGCACTGTGTAATTTTTCTTAAAGGGGTCATATGATGCTGCTAAAAAGAACATTATTTTGTGTATTTGGTGTAATGAAATGTGTTTATGTGGTTTAAGGTTAAAAAAAATCATTATTTTCCACATACTGTACATTATTGTTTCTCCTCTATGCCCTGCCTTTCTGAAACGCGTCGATTTTTACAAAGCTCATCGGTCTGAAAAGCAAGGTGTGCTCTGATTGGCCAGCTATCCAGTGCGTTATGATTGGCCCGAATGCCTCAAGCGTGTGACGGAAATGTTACGCCCCTTACCATACTGTGATGATGCCCAGTCAGGCCGGAGCGACGAGACAAAAACATGAAAACCCATTATAAACGAGGCATTCGTGGCATCCAGTGGGGACATAATTATGGATTATAATGTCTTATACTGTCTTTTTATGCGTTGCGTTGCATCGCGCCGCGTAAACCTAAAACCATGTCTGCATTTGTGATCGGAGAAATTACAAACAACAAGTCTTACTCTACACTGCTCAAAAAACTCGCTTTAAATATAAAATCTCTTTAAATATAAAAAACGTACTTACAATCTGTGAGTCAGAACAGCCGGCATTGTAGTCTACTCT